TGGATGAACTGGCTCATCTGATCTTGTGGCCTCCCGACCCAGGAACTTACTCAGTGCAAGAAGACAGGTTCGACTCCCTATTATTTCATCCCTGACCAATCAGGACTCCTGGCTTACTGGGTTCCCCCAGCTGACCAACTTGTCCTTAAAAACTCTGATCCCTGAAAGCTTGGGGAGACTGATTTGAGTAATAATAAAACTCCGGTCTCCTGCACAGCCAGCTCTGCATGAATTATTCTTTCTCTATTGTAATTGCCCTGTCTTGATGAACTGGCTCTGTCTAGGCAGCGGGCAAGGTGAACCCATTGGGAGGTTACAAACGCTCTTTCTATGACTGTAAGTCATCATCAAGCATTCCAAAAGTAGGGGGAGCTGATAAATTGATAACTGAGGCCTTGCAGGTATAGATTATTCTTTTGTTTCAAATGGGTATCACTTCCATTTGAATTAACTATGAACAAGGTATGACTCTTTGATTAAACACAGAAATGTTTAAAGCTTTTAAATGTTTAAAGCAACATAAGTTGCTCTGTCCAGTGACAGCCACTAGCCACAAGTGGCTACTTAGATTTAAATAAAGCCAAATAAAATTTCCTTAGTCGCATTGTAATGAAGCATCCCCATTTTTCTAAGAGATAGTTTAATGATTTTTAAAAAATCTCTTTTTTTCTCTTTCCTCCTTCTCTTTACTTCCTCCTTAGCTCTTTAGAAATGCAATTATAGCCTTTTTACCTCCTCTTTACCAGACACTTCCTATGGGGCAAGTTCATCTAACTATGCTTAGACGCTCCAGAGAGGAACTCTCGCCCACCAGGAGGCTGCCGTGAGAACAGTCCATCTACAACCCCAAGTATGCCCGTTCCAAAGCTCTCTCTTATTTGGAGAGTATTGGCCACTTTTAGAACCTAGCCCTGCCCACAAAAGGCACCAGCAGTCACTGTCCAGTAGATAAGGCACTGAAGGTAGTATGCAGACCACCCCCCCCAACCACTCGCTTCCTCCCTGTGTGCCATTTATGCCAGTGTTCCAGGCCCCCTTTCAAAAGCACCCTATTTCTGCTCCAAAAGTGAAGTTGTACCCTTAAGGCAGAAACCCTGTGCTTCTTCCCTTAAGGTAGCTTTGGAATAAAATGTCATTTTCTTTATAACAGATCTCATTCTTGTTAATTGGACTCTGTGAACAGCGAGAGTCTGAACCTGCATCCAGGTTATAACACTAACTGTAGTTTAAGTGCTCAATAGCCACATATGTCTAGCAGCTACTATATTGGGCTGTGCAGAGACATTATCACAGAAAATTCTCTTGCACAATGTTGCTCAGGCACTGATGATTTCAGCCCCATGTTGTGGTGAGTGATCTGCTCTTGGAAAGGACAATATGGTGGACTCACTTTTAGGTGCCAGCAAGGGGGTAAAACTGAGGCTTTTATGAGACTCCCAAACAGCTAGGAGAGAGGGAAATCAGACAAAGGAGCTGAAAAGTTGTTCCACTTCATTAGAAACTGAAAGGATGAAGGGATAGGGGTTCACTGAAGATATTTACTGCTTTCCTAGGACTTGATCAGAAACTTGATACTTAAAAACTTTGTGCTGTTTGTAACTTGATTCTCCTTAAATTTTTATTATTTGAAAATAATAACCTGTTTTATCTGTTCTAATAGGAAACAGGAGAGGGGGATTTTGTTCACATTGGGGCCAAAGTTTAAAACATAGAGGTGTTAACGTGCAATATAAGTGAACAGACTCAAAGATGGGAATCTTAAGGCAAAAGTGACAATACAAGGGAAAGGAACTGGAAAAGACATTTTTTTTTTCCATGCAGAGATTTCCTTTAGAAGAGCTATTTTCTACTCAGATTTTGGAGGATTTGTGTTTATTTTGGTAAAGAACATGATTTCTTTTTGTAGAGAGACGTATGATGTAAAATCATGGACTTTGCCCCTTGTTCCCCCACTTTTCCATTGTTTTATGATATTGAGAATTTTAGTCATGAAACCCCTAAAGTATACCCTGACTTCAGTTTCAGCTTATAAATTAGATCTGCTCTTTAAGAGCCATTGAGTTGTAGTCCCTCCAGTGCTACCTTTTGCATATCCAAATTATTGGGGGTGCTATGGTTTGGCTAACTTTCAAACATTCAGAGAAACAGGAGAAGCAGACATAGTTACTAGGATTAATGATAGCTAATAAGAGCAAACATTTACTGCCTGCCAAACACTATACTAAGTACTTAATGCTTAACATTATCTCATTTAATCCTCACATCATTTCAATGATCCAGGTATTGCTATTTCCATTTTATAGAAAAGGAAAATGAAACTGTCTGAATAACTTGTTCCAGATTAGACAACTAGTAAACAGCAGCCTCAAGGTTCAAACCTAGGACTGATTCTAGAGCTTGCCCTTTAATCCACTACTCTGGACAAGAATTTTTAACTATATTAATATTCTGATTTAAACTAATTGAAACCAACGCTAGTGTTAGCAATTTCCTGTTGACAGGTCAGTTAAAAATGTTTCGATGAATATAGAATACTAAACCAAACAGAGAACTAGGCCTTTTCTTGCTGTTTTAAGTAGTTCAGAAAAGCCTTAGTGTAGTATATTGGTGTGACTAGCAGGTCTCAGAAACAGATGGATTCAGTAAGTGCATTTGATGCTTTTCATCTTGTCTTCTCTCCTGTGAGAGTTCCTGGGGAAATCTTAATGATGCTAGTTGACATGGATCAAAGGCAGACAAAACATCAGGGAGAAACTGCCTGAACGAGGCTGGCTGATGGAATAGAAACTCCCTGAAGAATTCACTCCTGAATGATTAAAAAGCACCAGCCTATCCTGTAAAGTTTGAAGTTGAATATTCGCGAGGAAGCTACCTTCCTACTTGTTTATGAGGCAGAGAGAAAGGTTTAACTTGTCAGAGAAATTGATGCTTCCTGCCATATTACACTGAAACAGGAACCAGCTGGTTATCCACTCTTTTTTTTTTCCTTCTCAGCAACATAGGTTTACGCTGAACTTATGTTCATATGGCTGTGTAAATCTCTGTGGGTATGAATATGAATCTGTCTCTTCAAGTAGACTGTAAAGGTTTCTTAGGTTATTTCTCTTCTTTCTAGAACCTAAGTGTGGCTTTGCTCCTCACTGATAATACATTGGTTAATGCTATAGAGTTTCCAGTCTAAATGCACATAAAAAGTGAAAAGGGGCCGGTGCAGTGACTCACTCCTGTAATCCCCGCACTTTGGGAGGCGAAAGTGGGCAGATTGCCCGAGGTCAGGAGTTTGAGACTAGCTAAAATGGCAAAATCCTGTTTCTACTAAAAATACAAAATTTAGCCGGGCGTGATGGCAGGTGCCTGTAATCCCAGCTACTTGGGTTGCTGAGGCAGCAGAATGGCTTGAACCTAGGTTGGGGAGGTTGCAGCAAGCCGAGATCATGCCAATCGCTGGACTCCAGCCAGGTCGACAAGAGCAAAACTCCGTCTCTCTCTCTCTCACACACACACACACACATACACACACACACACACACACACATACACACACACACACATACACACACACACACAAATGTGAAAGGTAGGAAGGCTGTTGTTCATTTGCTGTTTTAGGTATTTTGCTCACCTACAGTTCAAAGTTATTAAGAAGCTGAAAATAAAGTACCTGGTTATGTGTGGAAAAACTTTTGGCTAAAAGGTGAGATGAACTAGGCCTAGAAGGTCGGATTCATGTGAAATTAAAAGGCAACAAAAGCCAGAACTTAGTTTTTTAAAAAGCTAAAATGCTAAACACAATTCCACTTGCTAAAATACAAAACCTGGGCCGGGCGCGGTGGCTCACGCCTGTAATCCCAGCACGTTGGGAGGCCGAGGCGGGTGGATCATGAGGTCAAGCTATGGAGACCATTCCTGGTCAACATGGTTAAACCCCCGTCTCTACTAAAAATACAAAAAATTAGCTGGGCATGGTGGTGCGTGCCTGTAGTCCCAGATACTTGGGATGCTGAGGCAGGAGAATTGCTTGAACCCAGGAGGCGGAGGTTGCGGTGAGCCGAGATCGCGCCATTGCACTCCAGCCTGGGTAACAAGAGCGAAACTCCGTCTCAAAACAAACAAACAAACAAACAAACAAACAAAACCTAGAATCATTTCAGTTTCTTCTGCAAAATGAATTGGAGAGAGTAGGATTGAACCACGCACGCTCTTTCAGGCCTTTCAGCGCTAACATCCTGGGATATTACACCAGGTTCAAGATACCAGCTTGCGGAAAGAGCTGCTAAACTTGATGACATGAACTCTTTGCACGATATTCGACCGCTATCTTTCCCTTCACCAGCTCTTTTAAGGCTGCACATATATCGGATTCATGTGAGAGTCCTTACAAGTTAGTATAACGTCGGGCCCCGAGGAGGCGCCCAATAAATGTTGGCACTGCAGGGCCAGATCCGGAGTTCCAGTTCAGAACCCAGCAGAGGTCAGACTCCCTCCCTGCTTCCGGCCCCACACCGCACCCACTCACTCCCCCCAGTATCAAGTCTAAACTGGGGCCTGCGCAGTGATTGGCCGCGCGGGTCTCACTGCGGAGGAACTTGGCTTGCTCCAATCATCTGTGACAGACACCTGCAGACAGCGCCCTTAACAGAATTAGGGTCAGGCTGGTACCAAACCCCCACGAAAGCCAGGCATTGCCTCAAAGTAGATGCGAACCGTTAAATCTTCCAGGACTCCGAAGGAGTCGGAACCCTCCGATCCCCAGCAAAACTTATTCCCCTCTTCCTCCCACAGTGTCTTGTTGCCAGAGCAACTGTGGGCGTCACCAATCTGATGGCGGAAACAGAACAAAAAGAGTACACGTCTCCAGCTCATTGATAGGGCTATTGCGCAGACGCAATAACTTTTCCGAGTTGTAGTTTGTTCTGTTGATGCAGTCTGCGTCTGCGCATCAGTTGTTACGCGCCCTGGCCTACCTCAGCGCCTGCGCAAACAGGGCACGCCAGAGAGGGCGGAGCTAGGCCACGACGGTGCGCACGCGCAAATAATACATCCGGTGTGGTCGTCTGGTCTTCATCCGAGTATCTTGTGTGCAGTCATGTCGGCGTCGGTAGTGTCAGTCATTTCGCGGTTCTTAGAAGAGTACTTGAGCTCTACTCCGCAGCGTCTGAAGTTGCTGGACGCGTACCTGCTGTATATACTGCTGACCGGGGCGCTGCAATTCGGTTACTGTCTCCTCGTGGGGACCTTCCCCTTCAACTCTTTTCTCTCGGGCTTCATCTCTTGTGTGGGGAGTTTCATCCTAGCGGGTAATGGTTCTATAAGTAATCGTAATAATAATGTGTTCTTTTGGTGTGCTGCTTTTGTTCTCATAGTACTCTATATGAGACCACTGCCCTTTGAAGTTCTGAGAAGAGCCTACATTGCCCTTTTTGTGGATGGGGAAATTGAGGCCCAGAAGGGTTGGATCATATGCATAATACCAAATGGCTGCGTAGAAGTTGGACTTAAATGTATAAGCAAACCACCTTCATGCTGCTATTCCACCGGGTGATCCACTTAATATTGGTCAGGGGAAAACCCTATTCCAGCTTTAATTAGGTTTAACCCAACTCTAAAACTAATAGACTTTTCAAATGAAAAACCCAACCTTGAATCATCTCTCTCATCTTGGCCTTATCACCAGCAATCTCCGGTGAGATATTTCAGTGAAAGTGCAGATAATATAAATTCTGGTGCTTTTCTTGTTTAATAATCCTTTGCTTGATTTTGCCTTTAGCTGCTACTTTTTTATTGTTGAGGAAGCTGTTATTTCACTCTCCTGAACCGGTTTTTGTTCATATAATTCTCTCTCTCTCTCTCTCTTTTTTTTTTTTTTTTTTTGAGAGAGAGTCTTGCTCTGTCGTCAAGGCTGGAATGCAGTGGCGTGATCTCGACTCACTGCAACCTCCGCCTCCTGGGTTCAAGCGATTCTCCTGCCTCAGCCTCCCGAGTAGCTGGGACTACAGGTGCCCGCCACCACTCCCAGCTAATTTTTTGTATTTTTAGTAGAGACAGGGTTTCACTATGTTGGCCAGGCTGGTCTCGAACTCCTGACCTCGTGATCTGCCTGCCTCGGCCTTCCGAAGTGCTGGGATTACAGACTTGAGCCACTGCGCCCAGCCTGTTCAACTAATTCTATTTTAGCCCTATTTTTCCTTTTGATTCCAGGGTTTGGTAACCTTGTAAATGGCCATATTTATCGAGAACTGTCTCCATCAAGTTTTGTCAGAATCTGACTGTTCTTGCCCAAGGGGGATTCAGTAAATACCAAAAACAGGTGTGGCCTCTGTCGCTGGTATCACCTGCTACTTTGAAAACATGTCATCATTCATGGTTTCTTTTCATTGTGATCATCAGTCAGGTCATCAGTTGTATTTTCATGAGGTATTATGGTAAAAGCTTTGGGGATACATCAGGCACATGTTCTTTGTCCTCAAAGAGTTTACAGTCTAGTTGGGTTACAGACAAAATACAGCAATGGAATTGTCTGGCAGCTTGGCACAGTGGCTCATACCTGTAATCCCAGCACTTTTGGAGGCCAAGACAGGCAGATCACTTGAGGTCAGGAGCTCGAGACCAGCTTGGCCAACATGGTTAAACCCTGTCTCTACTGGAAATACAAAAATTAGCTGGGCATGGTGGCACATGCCTGTGATTCCAGCTCCTTGGGAGGCTGAGGCAGGAGAGTCGCTTGAACCCAGGAGGTGGAGGTTGCGGTGAGCTGAGATCGCACCATTGCACTCCAGCCTGGGCAACAAGAGTGAAACTCTGTTTAAAAAAAAAAAAAAAAAAAAACTGTCTGGAGACAGTCATGCTGTTCTTAAAGTTACAGACCTATTGAGTGCTTTTTACATGTTTATATTGCTAGTTCTGACGCACCAGAGATACTTGTCAGAATTTAAAACAGACCTGAGGATCTAATGACGTGTACTAGCCTGATGTGGTGTTGCAGATTAGTCTGTTGATTGGATATTTAGTTACTATCTTTGACTTTTGTCCTAGATGATCAAGATCTGGTTGTCTGTGGTGGCATCCTTGCCTTCAGGATGTGTTAACCATCAGACCAGATACACTACCCTCTTTGCTCTAAGGATTCTTAGCCACCCACCTACCACCTTCTGCCACAGTACTATTCGTGACTAAGTGTTTTTATTAGCCAGCCTGGAGAAGGAACCTTGACGAGAACTTCTGATTAATTTTGTTTGATGTTTTTGTTTCCAGGTCTGGAAGAGTAGGAACAAGGCAGGGTCTGAAAGCTGATTTTAAAAAAGATGCCTCCTCCATGTAGAAGTCACCCTGCCTTCTTAAGCCTCTAGGGTTAAGAATGACTTTTCATGGATGCATTGAAGAATGTGGTTTGCTGAAGTATGGGCATGGACTAGCGTTACAGATTATCAGTGTAATAAAGCCAGAAGGTTTTTTGAGCAAATGACTTTAGCTTATGCAAAGACCTGTTTTTAGGACTGTTGTGGCTGAAATTGAATTGGCTAACTAGACTGCCTTTCTCCTCTCCGGTGCAAACTAGGTGACTTGTCATTGAAGAGAAACCTAGTAAAAGGGCATATTAATAACAGGGTCAATGAGGGGGATTAGGATTTCCAAATCTATTAGGTAACAGGTAACAGCTAGAGAAATGAAAGCAACTTCAGGAAAAGTAGTGTGTGATTTACACTTCTTTTGACAGCATTGACTTTTCCTAATTCTTGCCTCTTCTGCCACTTGTTAGACGAGATCATCAACTGGAGACTGGTTTTAATGGGAAATTTGGATGCTTTTCCTTTGTTTTGATTGTTGGCAAAGGTAGCTTGTTCCTTTTTATGGTGCTGGGGTTTCTAACTTTCCTGTGGAGTTTCCTGCTGGAAGAGAATGGAGGAGTCGAGTGAGCTGGAGAGAGGGAAATGTCAGAGATACTGTTTAAGGATTAGGTAGTGCTGAGTGCTAGATGTTTGAATGCCAGGCCAAGGAATTTGGATTTTTTTTTTAAGACAGAGTTCCACTTTTGTTGCCTAGACTGGAGTGCAATGGCGTGATCTTGGGTCACCGCAACATCCACCTTCTGGGTTCAGGTGTCTCTCTTGCCTTAGCCTCCCAAGTAGCTGGGATTAGTAAGGCATGCACCACCATGCCTTACTAATTTTGTATTTTTTAGCAGTGATGGGGTTTCTCCATGTTGGTCAGGCCGGTCTTGAATTCCCAACGTCAGGTGATCCACCTGCCTCAGCCTCCAAAAGTGCTGGGATTACAGGCGTGAGCCACTGCGCGCAGCCAGGAATTCGGACTTTATCCTGTAGGTAATAGTAAAGCATCTGAGAATTTTTTTTAAAGAAAGGAAGAGATTTAAAATTGGTGTTAGCATGTAGGATGAATTGGAGGGAAATGTTCTGTAATTGTCCCTATTTTTTTTTTTGGCAGTCTATTCTGTTCCTTCTCCATGTGTTAGTTTAGCACGTGCTCTTTGGAAATTGACCAGTACCTTTTAAACCAATTTAGAATGCTACCAAATCTTTAAAAAGCCTGTTGTTATTGGGCCTAATATGGTATGAAAATGGTCTGTTTTCCTCTATTCCCTCATAGCTGAGATATCACGGTTTCAAGAAGGAACCAGAGGTAGAAAGTTGCCATTGAGAGATCTTTTTTTGGGGGGATAATTGGAGTATAATATATTGGCTTTAAAAGGACCTCAGAGGTCGAATATTTTTCTTATTTCAGACAGATTTCCAACATCCTCAGTAGCTGAGTGTTCATCTTGTAGTTAGGTATCTCTAGAGGAGGACATCTGTCCCTTTTTTAGAGTTATGTTCCAGTGTTGGCAACTCTTTTAGTTTCCTTTTTTGCCTGACTGAAAGCTGTGCTCATTTAAAGTGCTATTTAGGAGTCTTTAAGACTGTCCTCAAAATAAGTCTTTGGTCTTGAAACAAGTTTTTAAGTCATTTCCCAACTTTCATTTATTCTGTTCTCTAATCTATATGAAGTCATTTTGTCTTAAAAAATAGTTTTGTTTTTCCTAGTTTACAAATTCAAAACCAGTTTGAATCTGTAAGGCATGGAGACCTAGTCCAGAGATTTCTATGTCATGGGAGCTATTGGGCTGTTGTGAACTGGGGCTCAGCATTTCTTTTGGAATTATCCATCAGATCTGTGGGTCCTAATATTATCTCCCATAACTGTTATCTAAGAGATTGGAAGTTTGCCACTCGTGTGCCTGATAGTCGTGTTTCTAAATATCTTTCATGTCATTGCTACTTTTTCATCCTCTGTTTTAGCCTCTCAATATCTCTTATGTAGACTACTATAATCCTGGCTTTCTGGCCTCTGGTTCCCAGTCCATCTTCTATGTTTGCAGGCTTGATTCGACTTGCAAATCTGATTGTGTCACTCCCATGTACAACTTAATGTTTCCCAAAGTAAAATTAAAAATGTTTTCTTGACATACCGGCTCTTTCATGATCTGGCTTCCTTGCTGTCTGCAGCTTCATCTCTTGCCTCTGCCTCCTCTGTACTTTATGCTCCAACAGTATTGAGCTACTTGTCATTCTCTGAACACTCTGATGTCTCAAACTATTTGCCTTTGCTTGACTGTCTTCAAAATTCCTTCACATTTTAGATTTCTCAGCTCAAGTGCAATTTCCTTTTTGTCGTTGTTATTGTTTTTAAAGAGAACAAGGTCTTGTTATGTTGCCCAGGCTGGCCTCAAACTCTTGGGCTCAAGCAGTCCTCCTGCCTTAGCCTCCTGAGTAGCTAGGACGATAGGCATACACCATATGCCTGGCTTATTGCCCTTTAGAACCCTTCCCTGACTCTCCGGCAGGTTGAGGTCTTTCCCTCTATTACTACTTCACCTTGTATGTGTTTGTGAGAGAGATACGGCACTGTGCTGTATTTGCATGTCTGCCTTCCCTCTGGAAGGTGGGCCCTTGAGGGCAGGGACTATCTTCTCATCTCTGCATCCTCAGTGCTGAATACTGTATATGTTAAACGGTGAGCAGGCATATAGTCACGTCAGGAATACTGAGCAATTATATGCTAGATTCTCTGCCAGGGTACTGGGAATTCAACTGTGAAGCACACAGACATGGTTTCTGCTCTCACAGAGTTTGTAATGTAGTGGGAAATACAGACAAGTAAATACGGATATGTTGCTGGTAGAGAATTACTGGTGAGAGTGGGAACACGGTGTGCACCCAAGCCTGCCTAGTGGTCCTGCCATAATGCTTCTCTAATATATTCGCCTTCCCAAAATAGACTTCATAACTTAATCACTCTCTTA